GGGCAGAAATGATCTATTCTAGTAAAGGTGTATGGAGTTTAAAAACACAATGGAGCACCTCCTGTATTACCATATAACATCACAAGGTGGAACGGAGTATTTTCTGTTTGAGAGAAGAACTCAACCCAAATGTGCAGGGTTTGTGTGTTTTTGATGAGGAAACAACATTAGAACTAGGTCAAAAATAACACAGTATAGGCCCACTATGTTGAGCCTGTTAACACACATTGTACAATATAGAGCTGAAGTCATGGACCCAGGGGAGCGCGCTCAGAAAGAAAACTTGTTTTTCAAACCTTTGTCCAACCTTTGTTTGTCTCAGTCCTTTTATGAAGAAGTAGCAGTAGAAGTAGCACTAGAAGTAGTAGTAGCAGTAGTAGTAATAGTACTAATAGAGGTAATAGGTCCAATAGTATTAGTAGCAGTAGTAATAGTTGTAGTAAAAGTTGCATTAATAATAGCAGTAGTAGTAGCAGTAGTACTAATAGTAGTAATAGTTCTAATAGCAGTAGTAGCATTATCAGTGGCAGCAGCAATAGTAGTAGCAGTAGCAGTAGCAGTAGCAGTAGTAGTAGCAGTAGTAGTAGTAGCAGTGGCAGTAGTAGTAGCAGTGGCAGTAGTAGCAGCAGTAGTAGTAGCAGTGGCAGTAGTAGTAGCAGCAGTGGCATTAGTAGCAGCAGCAGTGAAATCAGTGGCAGTGGAATCAGTGGTAACAGTGGTAACAGTGGTAACAGTGGTAACAGTGGTAACAGTGGTAACAGTAGTAACAGTAGTACTAATAGTAGTAATAGTTCTAATAGCAGTAGTACCAGTAGTAGCAGCAGCAGCAGCAGCAGCAGAGGAATCATTAGGATAATTGGGATCATTAGAATCAGTAGTATCAGTAGTATCAGTACTATCAGTAATATCAGTAGTAATATCAGTAGTAATATCAGTAGTAGTAGTAGTAGTAGTAGTAGTAGTAGTAGTAGTAGTAGTAGTAGTAGTAGTAGTAGTAGTAGTAGTAGTAAGGCAAGGCAAGTTTATTTGTATAGCACAATTCGTACACAAAGTAATTCAAAGTGCTTTACAGAATAAGAAATACATTAAAATCATAATAAAAACAAATCAAAACATAAATAATCATGAAGATTAAAATTAAAAAAAGAGAGACATAAATTAGAGAGAAGAGTGCGGAATGAAAACCTTTCAGTTATATGCACAGTTAAACAGAAATGTTTTGAGCCTGGATTTAAACAGCGTCACAGAAGAGTCTGTCTCACATGTCTCACATGTTCAGGTAGTTCATGTTAGTAGTAGTAGTAGTAGTAGTAGTAGTAGTAGTAGTAGTAGTAGTAGTAGTAGTAGTAGTACCTCTCTCATGAGTATCTGGGCCCTCTGCACAAACACATTGGGGCTGGAGACGTCGAAGCGCTGCTGCAGACCCTCCAGACTCAGAGCCTCCACTTTCTCATAACAGCTCTGCATCTTCACCGGGTGGAAGGCCAGCATGGAGATCTTCTCCATGTGCTGCACGACACAGGGCACAGGGCATTTCATGAGGACAACACACTGACATACTACTTAGTACTATTCAAGACACATTAGTACAGGGTCTTCATGAAAAAATCCATGGCCACAGACATTTTGGTCATGATTTAAATTAAGGATATTTGAAACAGTGAGCAGGGTTATTTAACTTTGTGGCTGGTTTGCCGTCCCTACCATTTCAGAGAGCCAATTTTATTATATGGGCCTATACACAGTAAATAATGCATTTGGGTCAGTGAAAGAGGTAGGAGCAGGATCAGATTTCAGTTAGGGCAGATTTGCCAAAAAGGTGTGGGTTGAAAAGTTCTGTTTTTTAATTAAAAAGTGCAAATAGTACCAGATGAGAGCATGGGATTTAACAAAAACTGCAAAAACTCAAGTTAGTTAGCTGTACAAGGTGTGCAAGTTGGAAGGCTTAAATGAGGAGACGAGTATGGAGAAGAACAACAGTATTAACATTGTTTTTTTTGTTGTTGTTGTTGTTGTTTTTTTAATAAGACAGGAGAAGAGACAACAAACAAGTGAACTAAAAAAAGGAGAAAAAAAAAACATACAAAATTAAATAAATCTAAAATAAATAAAATAAAAATAATACAAAATAAAATAAAGTCCTATATCTAAACCCCCGTCCTCCTCCTCACCTGGGCCACAGTCTCCTTGGTCCCGTTGTTCACTGTGTTCTTGCTCATGTCCACCAGCTCTCTGAAGAACACCTCCCTGACCTCAGAGAAGCCTCGGCTGGTGGGCTCCATCAGAGCGTCCAGGATGGAGGAGATGTACGGCTCAATGCTCACCTTCAGCAGCTTCTCCGCCTTAGGCTGCGCCACCACTACAAGGAAGGGGAAGATTTATAGGTAACCTTTTTGTCAATTATCTGAAAATGATTATTATGTCTTACTTTTTTTTTTTTATATATATAATTTTTTTATGTTTAATGCAATTTGAGTTTCTGGGCCCACTGTCCTCCCAGGTCACTAAATAGAGATGCACTGATCCAGCTTTTTCAATTCCGATATTGAGTAATATAGCATGATCTGGGGACTAGTTTATAATGTAAATGATCATGTTACACATTTGCCCTGAAATATCAAAAAGGTAAATTCCCAAAGTACAATGTAATCAACGGGAAAAACTGGCTCTTGCCCCCCATCTGGAAGTATCATCACATTGTAGAATCTGAAAACCACCAATAAACAAAAGTTCAACCATTGTAAGACTTTCTGGGCCAAGTACAACCAGTAAACAGTCTTCTTACATAGAATTATACTTCCAAACGGGATATCGACTGAACTGTTATTTGGAAGGCGATATCTGATTCAGCAAATTTTTCAGTATCGATGCTGAAACCCAATACCAGTATTGTATCAGTGCACAACATTATCTGTTACATAAGGGTGTTTTGTTCTACAGTTGTAGGGAGTATTAGCTGTTACATAAGGGTGAGTCGTTGTACAGTTGTAGGGAGTATTATCCGTTATATAAGGGTGAGTTGTTGTACAGTTGTAGGGAGTATTATCTGTTACATATGGGTTAGTTGTACATTTGTAGGAAGTATTATCTGCTACATAAGTGCGAGTTGTTGCACAGTTGTAGGGAGTATTATCTGTTGCATATGAGTTGTTGTACAGTTGTAGGAAGTATTATCTGTTACATATGGGTTAGTTGTATAGTTGTAGGGAGTATTATCTGCTACATAAGTGCGAATTGTTGTACAGTTGTAGGGAGTATTATCTGTTGCATATGAGAGAGTTGTGCAGTTGTAGGGAGTATTATCCGTTACATAAGCATGAGTTGTTGTACAGTTGTAGGGAGTATTATCTGTTACATATGGGTTACTTGTACAGTTGTAGGGAGTATTATCTACTACATAAGTGCAAATTGTTGTACAGTTGTAGGGAGTATTATCTGTTACATGGGGGGAGTTGTTGTACAGTCGTAGGGAGTATTATCTGTTATAAAAGGGTGAACTGTTGTACAGTTGTAGGGAGAGTTGTTGTACAGTCGTAGGGAGTATTATCTGTTATATAAGGGTGAACTGTTGTACAGTTGTAGGGAGTATGATATAAACGTATGAATACAGGCCAGAAGAATTGACAAAAAGACAAAAATAAGATGTTCTGAAAGTTACTTCCTGTATTAAACTACAGGGAAGCAGTTTGTAGATTTTGATGTTTTTAGAAGGATGGGTGGTACTTCAAAAACTGCAGTCTTTGCGATATCCTAATGTCAATTTGATTGCGATTAATCTCGCTTGAACCTCAGCATCCATCTACCCACGTATTCTCTATTGCGCCTTTGTACTGAACTTCTTTCCCCAAAACAACCAACGTAGCCATCTAATCTTATCCATCCTCTCTATAAACAAAGACAATTGCCTCGTTTTTGGTGCAAGTTCAAGATATAAACAACTCCAAAAATCGTGGAAATCTCCGCGCAGAAAACCGACTGTCACAGCAAATGAGGAACATATGATTTTGAAGGAGAAATTTCGGTTCTGGAAAAACTTACACTAGTCAGATCTTTTGGAAATTGGAAATGTCAGAGTATTTTCCTGTTACTCTGCCATTGCGTTGCCTCATGGTGAAATCATTAAAGGCATTTTTACAACGTCTGTGGATTTAATTATTGTTTTAGGCTGGGTAATCATTAGTTAGATTGCAGCATCTACCTGGTTGGAATTTTACGACGCAGATAGTTGACGATGAATGAAAAAAATGCAAAAATATAGTAAAAGCATAAAAATGTAGCTACAGCATCAATTATAGTTTCATAACAGGAAGTTGTTGTGACATTCCGGCGGCCTTTAGGATGCTACTCCCATTTACTGGAACCGACACAGCAAATATTATAAAGGGGGTCATGTCTTCCGTGTCTTTTTTTAATAATGCTTACTTATCCAAAAAAAAAGAAGAAACGCTATCAGAAAGTTTTTTGTTTTTTTTTCTGCTAAAGTTCTAAGAGTTATGGCCTTATTTTGAATTCACAACAGTTGGCAGGTTTAGACATTGGTAACAAATGACTGACGCAGGTTCTCTCAAATACGTGAAATGCCAGTGGGTATGATTAGTCACATTTTAAAACAGGTTTTTAAATAACAAAGTTTCACAAAGGATCGTTTGTGCCTTCATGGACAAACAAACAAGCTGCTATCTAGATACTAATCAATACTAGTATCAAAACTAGAGATTAATTGAAAGTATAGTTAAGAATCAGTATCGTTTTATAATGTTTTTTTGTTTCTTTGGTTTTTTTTTTAATCTATTGCCAAACTAATATAAGATTGAATAATTATTAGGGGTGTAACGAAGGTCTATCTAAGTCTCAAGATACGATGATATCACGGTATGAACCTCACGGTACGATATTTATTGTGATATCGTGGGAAAGCTCATAATATGGTGGAAAGGCTCATGAATAGGGATGTAACAATATCCAAATCTCTCTGTACGATATTTTCACGATATACATCTCACGGTACGATATTTATTGAGATATTTTGTGGACGCTAACGAAACTTAATATGCGACTTTTTCCTCTTAAAATGCCTTGACAAGACCTAATCCAAAGAACTAAGACTTAAAAATGCTTAGAACTTATTTCTTCATGTAGTCTGCAAAGGGTCATGGTCTATGTCAGGGGTGGGCAAACTATGGTTTTAAAACTCATTTCAATACATAGTAAAAACTGTGGGACTTGAAAGAATAATATTTTGTTGTAATGATTTTGAATTATGGGATATTTCAATAACATGGGATGTGTTTTTTTTTTTGTACATATCACATGTTATTTTTTTCTCATATGACGTGGATTACCAAAAAACTCCATCCATCTGCCCTGGTCTGGCCCTTCCATCAGATTTTAAAACCCTTTGTGGCCCACGAGTCAAAAAGTTTGCCCAGCCCTGGTCCATGTAGTTCCCTCAGTCTTTTTTTTAGCTGCTGCTGCACCATAACTCTTAATTTAAGCAAAGAGACTTGTAATTTGATATATTGTAATGGTCCACGATATTATTGTGAGAACTTTGATGATACAATATCACGATATTTCGGTTATTGTTACATCCATAGTGATTATATACAACCTTTTCTTTAGTAATGAAATTGGGTTTGAAATGTGAGTATCGTGACACCACAAATTGGTATGAAAAAGGTGCAAGATGTAACTTTCTGGAGGTGGCACATTACCACCAGGATTCTGTGGAAGTAAAAAACATACTTCAGAACATCATCAATCAAATGTTTTAAGCCATACACTGGAAGATTACTAGCCTGAGTCATGAGCCGGTTTTACTTCGTTTCACTTTGTACAAACCATCTGACCTCGCAGCATTAGATTTCACTCGACGGTAGGCGGGTACTTTTTATCATTTAACCGATCACTGCTATTTGGTCGTCACATATGTAATGCGCCGCTAACGGGGCTAACTGGTATATTAAGCTTTTCCCAAATCCCGTAGGAAGAAGGACAATAACGTCTTTCCCCTTGATAAAATTCACCAAACATTCTCTTTGTTCCGGCTTTAAATCCTTGATCTCAGGAATCGTTGACAACACTGAATATATCACTCTTCGCTGATTGGCTGGTGCCTGAACCTGCACTTCTGGGGTTCTTGCGAACCGTCTATTGTATTTTGATTCCTGACCTAGTCGCTGAAAAGAAATGAAATTGAACGGAGGCACTAGGGGGTGCCAGCCTGGCTAGAAGATTACAGCGAAAGGAACAACATTTCCATGGAAACAAGCAGTCGACGCCCTCTTCAAGAGTCAGGTTTATGGAGATGCAAGCTTGCTCACAATAAGGGCGCATGTTTTTTCAGTGCTAAACCAAAACTAAACCAAAATGAAAAAAATATACTCTTATTCCAAATTTTGGACAGGGGGCCTCATTTTCTAGTGAGCCAGATTGTTAGAAATGTGTGGAAACTTTTTGAAAAAATATTCCATCCAGTCCTTGTATTTGCAGAGGTCGCTGGTGCTAGGCTAGTGCATGTCAATGGCCATAGTTATCCTGCCACTAAAAACAGTCTTACCCACTCCACAAAAGACCTGAATGTAAATGTCTGTGTTGATAGAATAATTTTAGAAGGAAAACCAACCTTCCATTTGAAGGGTTTATGTCTGAGCAGCAGTGAGTTGTACTTCCTGATAGAAAGCTCGGCAGTGGCGGACTGATATATGAAAAAATAGTCCCTCAACATGTGACGATTCATGCGATGCGAGGTTAGTTTTATTTCAAACTGAGGACTGTATGGAATTTTTTTTAAAAGTGTCTCCACACGTCTCCAACACTCTGGCTCGCTAGGAAATGAGGTCCTTTGTTCAAAATTCCGAACTGTCCCTTTAAGTCTATTTTTTGGCAAAAAAGGTACATGCTATGGCTTTAATTTATTCATGCTTTCCTGTGGTTAATACAATTTCCGTCTGGATTTGTCTTTCACCGTTTAAACAAAGCCCAGTGCTTATAGAAGTTGGTTTAGTATAATTCAGAATTACCTCTGATCTTGTTGGTGACGTACTCTTTGGAGGTGATGATCTGGTCCATGTCCGTCCTGATGGAGGCCTCGATTGCCGGCTGCCCCGCCTCGCACCTCTGCACCAGGGTCTCGTACTGAGCCTGGCACTGGCTCTGCACCAGGCTGTACACCGCGTCACTGATCTGCCAAAACACACACGCAGCTGTTAGATGTTATGTTAGGACTAATAATGTGGTTTAATGAGGCTAAATACTAAATATGCAACACTGGAAAAGTTTAGTTAGGCTGCGAACATGATTGATGTATTTTTCTAATTTGTTATACATACATTCTTCTATATTACTTTTTTTTCATGAAATAAGAATCAAACTTTTATCTTAAAGAATAATACAGACCCCAACAGAAATGAAGAGGAAACAACACCAGGTAATAGCTCAATCTAAAGAGGGAGTATTAACTGCTACAACATAAGTTTCACATCCATTTTTGATGTTCACGGAGAACTGTCGTGAGGGAGTATGGGTGACAGAGGCTTGTGGTTTGAGCATTGCACAGAATCTTACAGCTAACCATAAGGAGGGTTTGAATAGGGCCCGGGAGAGATCGCTAAATTACTTAAACATGCATGAACAGTATCTAAAATCTCTTCAGGGATGTTTATTGATGAGGGGGCATCATTATAGAATGGTAGAAAGCAGAGTTGGGACCAAGTCGCTGTTTTGCGAGTCTCAAGTAAGTCTCAAGTCTTTGACCTCAAGTGCGAGTCAAGTCCCAAGTCAAAGACAGGCAAGTCCAAGTCGAGTCACTGACCCATGAGTTCAAGTGAAGTCCAAGTCATCTGCTTTGAGCTTTAAGTCATTTCAAGTCTTTATACCATGACTTTTTAAGTACAATTTAGTTTAAAAGTCACTTTGCATAAATCTAAGCTATATTTGGTACTTTTTGGTTTATTTTTATATGATTATTTATCATATATATGATTATTATTTATATATATGTACAAATTTTTCCTTTTTAAATGTCTTGACATTTATTTTAGTCATGAAGTATCATGTTCTCTGTAGCTCCCTCTGTTTTACTGTATTGTACTCTATATACTATATTTTATTTTAGTACATTTGAGGATACCACATCATAGTACTTCAATTACATCCAAAGTAACAAACAGAAGTGAGGGGGACATGATCCAGGGCTCAAGTTCTAGTCAAGTCCCAGTTCATTGATCTTCAAGTCCAAGTCTTAGTCCCTTTTGTCAAGTGAAGTCTCAAGTCCTCAAAATAGTGACTCAAGTCTGACTTGAGTCCAAGTCATGACTAGCAAGTCCCCAGCTCTGGTAGAAACCTTAAAAACATCTATTTGGTGTATTTCCCCTCTATAACAAAAGTGCGTATATTTAATTATGTATTTTCAAGAACATTATATTCATTAGCTTTATAATTTTAGAACAAATACCAGCATCCAGTTCCTCTGTCGGTCGTGCAGTTTGCCTTTGAGTCGAGGAGAGATTTGGTCTCTGAGCTCAGGCTGCAGAACCTCCATCACCAGGTTGGACAAAATCTGCAGAAGACAATAAGCAACAACAGGATTCAATAAATATACATTAGGTTTATTCCACGACTATGGGCCGTAGGTGGGATACAACAACTAATGCGGCGTGGGGCAGTTGGAATGTGAGAGTTCTTCAAAGGCGGATTTACAATATTAATAACACAATAATACAATGTTAAAAACACACAGACCCTGCATATTTAGGCTGTGTTCTTGTCTCAAACTAAAAACACTCTGTTCCACCTCGATATCGATGATAATACAGGAAGTGCTCCACTGTGTGTTTAAACTCCATACACCTTCACTAGAATCATTTGGATAATTTCAGCCCCTAGAATTGGCAATCTCTATTGAACTAAAGTAAAAGATAGCTATTAACTTAACAACTACTGCTTCATGACATCATTTTGAGCTTTGGAGATCCAGACAGACGAGTAATAAAGGGTTACTCAAAAATGTGTGAATAAAAAAAAAAAAAACAAACAACTCCAAGTCTGTTTCAACATTCTAACATGTCTTAAAGCTCACAAGAGTCAATTTTGCGTAATATAGGAGCCTTAATATTCACTTGACACAAAATATCTGAAAAATCTGAACTCTTGTTTGGCTTCCACCAAACAAAGCTCCTGGGGCTCAACTCCGGTCATTTGCGCTGCTTCCCGAATTCCCACTTCCAACACACCACATGAAAGCACCGTCATTCACTGGGTACATTTAAATGGCCAGTAAAATCAGATAACTAGAATAATGAGATAATGCAAGAATTAGATCTCATTGTTGTTTGTGTGTTTACATGCACAAAGGAAATCTGATAAAATCTTCGTGTATTTTTAGAGTAGCTGTTGTATTTGGAAAACAAAGTACCATATTTTTGGGACTATAAGGTGCACCGGATTATAAGGTGCAGTATTAATAACGTTGAATTGTCTTGTCTATTTTCATAAATGAGGTGCGCCAGATTATAAGGCGTATTAAGCGAAACAAAGGTACGACACTTGAGACTGATCCCTTAGCCCAGACATTCACGATCCATTGGCAGATCATGGCATAATTTGCCTAGGGTTGCCTCCCTGTCTTGGTGAATGTGGATTATGAATGTGAATGTGTGTGTACATCATTTAAGTTTGTTTGAGGACTCAAATATACATTGAGTAATAATGTGTTTAATGCAGTTTCAAGCACATTTGTTTACATTTTACAGAAACTAAACTTAAAACCACATGGCTACTTTGCATAAATTATAAGTGCTGAAAAAACTGCTCACTCCTTGTGTACTGATGTCGTCAGCTTCTGGACTGGCCTAAAGGACATGCCTGTTCTCCACGAGGCTCCTGACTACAGTAGCCGTAATGCTCTGACAATCCATCAAGTGATGTGGCTTCGTAGTTTACCAAAGTCGTACTAAAACACTGACAGATTTTTGAGCACTGTGTAACACATAAAATCGTTTTGAGGTCAGTAAACACAACCAGAAATATAATACATAAGACGCACCGGATTATAAGGCGCACTGCAGATTTTTGAGAAAATTAAAAGGATTTTAAGTGCACCTTATAGTCTGAAAAATACGGTACAATGAATGAATGGTATAGTGTTGTTTTCTCATCACAGTAGACCTGGAGTTGTGTTTTGTTTCATTCACATGATTAACACACAAACCCTGCATATTTTGGCAAAGTTTTTCTCTCAAGCAGAAAACACTGTTCCACCTTGTGATGTCAAGCGGTAATATGCTCCACTGTGTTTATAAATTCCCTACACCTCCACTAGAATCATTTGGATAATTTCAGCCCTGGAACTGCCAATCTCTAATGAACTAAAAGGTAATGAATAGCTGTTAAATTGAAAACTACCGCTTCATGTCATCACAATGTGAAACAGAGCATTTTGAGCTGTGGAGATGTAGATAGACTAATAATAAAGAATTACTCAAATATGTGTGAATGAAACAAAAAACTCCAGGTATGTTTTTGAGAAGTAAAAACATTTATAACATGGCTTACAGCTCACAAGAGTCAATTTTGTGCAATATAAGACCTTTCAGAATCACAAAAACATTTTAAAACAATGAACCCACCCTCAGCCAATTCACTTAAGCAGTCATGTGTCCACAATTTAGCTAATGGCAGTTTGACACCGGTTAAACGACACTATAATGGTTTTAGAGTGACCGATAGGAACGCAAGCTTGTTTTGGTTTGTGCTATCGAGAAAAGAGACTTTAATCTTTTTATCAAGACGTAAAGAGATTCTGTTGAGTAACTGACGCGTACTGCAAACCGGTCTAGTGGCATTTGTAGCAGTACAATCACTTTTAATGCCTTTGGGGCCAGATTGCATAAAATAAATATGGCAGTCAGAGATAAAGAAGCAGGTTAAAGCAGGATACGTTTCTCACACAAAGTAGGGCAGATAATTATTACGCAGAAAGTACCATTTGCTGTATTCTTATTGCAGTAAAATGAATATAAATACAAATTAAAGGTGCTGCAGATGATTTTTACTGTCGGAAAAAACGTAAATAATCAAACTAGTTTGCTTTAAACAGTTTGTAGTGGTCCAAAGATATTCCTCACTTACTAATATCTAATTATATTTTCGCAACTCTCAGAGACCAGAGTGGACTTATGTATGGCAGTAGAGCTAAGTACAACTAGCATGCTAATGAGAACCTCCTGATGATCACAATTAAAGACTTTCTGATTAGACTTATAGACTTTCTGATCGGACTTGTTTTGACCTTGAAGTCTGTCTGTACTGCAGCAAGACAAATTTACATGAGAAAACAAAAAAGATCTTCCCTCAAACAGAAGTACAGTTTTACTTGTAGTATATGAAGCCCAATTTTGGTTCTAGTTTTGTTTTTTAACATAGTTTAATCAGAGAGATTTACATTTTTATTTTTCAGTCTAATGTAAACAGCAATTTAAAATAAAGAGAAAATATAGTTAAAGTTAAAGGGCCCAAATTATGCAGTTTTCTGATCTAGGTTATAATGTTTCCTCATCACAAACAGACCTGGAGTTGTGTTTTGTTTTATTCACACGTTTAACACACAAACCCACCATCTTTAAGCTTCTTCTCTCATACAAAAAACACTCTGTTCCACCTTGTGATGTTATACGATCCACTAGTGTTGTAGTCAAGACTGCACTAATCGAGACCAAGACCAGTCAACGAGACCAAATCGCGTCCATCTTTGTCCTTTTCTATATGCATTTGTATTTTACAGTTATTTTGGCACTTAAAAAAAACTCTATCTTCATTTGATCTGATTAATGTTCATTTAGGCTTAAAATAGACCAAGCAAATGGCACTACACTTAAAAACCCCTTTTGTGGAACCTGACCCACGGTTTGAGAACCCCTTTTTAAATCCTGCTTCCACTGGCACTTTACAGAAAACAACGTCAAAGTGAATCAAGTCAGTTTTTTCAAGTTCATAACCTTTACAGTTACATTATCTTATTGGTTTTTACATTGATATTGAGCAGCCTCTGCACTTTTACTGGCACCAGTACGACACTATGCTCCACTGTGTTTTTTAAATGGAGTTAATATGATTAACTAAGATTCAGGACTTGAAAACTTGAAAACTACCACTGCATGACAACACAAGGTGGAACAGAGCATTTGGAACTTTGGAGATTAGGGATGGGCATGATTAATCGATAATTGATCATTAAGAATTTCATCGATTACGTTAATTTTAATCGACAAACTGAATGTAGGTTGGTGTGTGTAGCGTGACCAAACAAGGTCAGTACATGTCTCTCTGCACTCAGAAGGAGGGAGCAAACACAAACAGTCGGTCAGTCTGCAGCGTACCGAAGTGCAGATGTGTATTTAACGATGACTTATACAAGAAATTCCACGCTTTCCGTTGCGTTCGGGACAAGTGTGAGGCCATGTGCAGTTTACAAAGCAGGAACACATGTTTCGGTGTCCAGTGGTAAAAAGCTTTACCAGGTGAGAGTCGCGCAATGATGATGACGAGTCCCCACCTCCCTCCCCCCGTACGGTGTCCTGGTTTTGACAAACGCAAATATGGTCACACTAACCTGTATTCCACTGAATCATGTCTTTTAATCCAACAGAAATTGAACCGCATCAGCGACACAAGAGCTGCAATTTTATCTTCGCTGAGTTTATGCAAATTAGCGATGTGGTTTTAAGTTTTGTTTCTGTGAGAGTTGCACAAAACTGAATTAAACACATTATAATGTCAAACAGACTGATGTGGCTCTAGAGTCGTTATGGTTTATATGTCGTAAAGTTGAATTTATTCATGCAGATTAGTAGTGCAGATAGTAATAATAATGATGATCATTTTAATATAAAAACGTTAATGATTAATCGATCGTCAGAAGAATTAACGATCGATTAAGAAAATTTCATCGAATGCCCATCCCTATTGGAGATGTAGACAAATTTAATAAAGGATAACTCAAACATGTGTGAATGAAACTTAACACATCTCCAGGTATGTTTTTGAGAAGTAACACTATGACATGACTTAAAGCTCAATTTTGCACAATACAGGACCATAAATGTAACATATATTGGACATGTTGCCAGATACTCAGTCCAGTCCATCACTTTCATAAATACAGCAGCAGTTCTTACTTGAGCAGGCTGACCACACATCATCTCCCATGTGCCGTAGTGTCCTTTAGCCTGACGATACAGCCTCACGGCGTCTGTGAAGGCAGGAGTCTGCACTTTATTCTCCTCGGACAAACCTGGAAAACAAAAAATACACTGGAGTTAGCAAGGTCACATTCAATCTTGACAAAAAAAGGTTACGGTAAATGTTATGCGTAAGTCTAAATACATTTAAGATGAATGCAGACTGACACATCTTCTCTACGACATAAAACCCACACAGTCCTGGATAAGTCCTGGTTTGGTAAATGTGCAGGGTTTGTGTGTTAAACATGTATGAATGAAAGAAAACACAACTCCTCTTATGGACTCAGACTCGGACTCAAATCAATAACATCTGCAGCCTTTTACCATCTAAAAACAGAGCAAAAATCACAGGTGCACGGTCTAAAGGAGACTTGGAGAGATTTATCCATGCATTTATCTCTAGGTTAGATACTGTAACGGCCTCTCGCAGTGCATCCAGAACACTGCAGCTCAGGTCCTAACTCGAACCAGCAAGTATGAGCACATGCGTCCTGTGGCTCAGAGAATAGACTTTAAAGCGGCTCTGCTTGTGTACAAATCTCCATGGCCAAGCACCAAAGTCCATCTGTGACATGTTAGTGCCATATGAAGCATCTCGGAAATCAGCTGGCAAGTCCCCCTGGCTGAAAGTCCCCCTGAATTGTATCCTTTATGGAACTAAATTATTCAGTCTATATACATATACTAATTACACATGCAACAAAGCTCAGAGTCACCGTGAACGCCACAAACACAGTCCGACTGACCCATCCAACTGTTGTGTTTCGTTTAAAGTCCAGTGCGGTTTATTTGTGAAAAAAGTTAGAAAATAGACCATTTAATGACAGTGCGCCTTATAATCTAGAGTGTCTAATAGCCCGGAAAATACGGTACTCTATATTCTATTGGCAGCAAGTAAAAAGGCAACAACAAGGAAGTGGCTTAAACCACGACCAACAACTGAGAACTGGACTGACAATGTGCAAGAGCTCTACACGAGGAAAAAGGTTTCATTTTTATAGAAAGTGCAACTGGACTTATTTTACAAGATGTGGTCTAAATGGACAGAGCATGTAAAGCCAGTGAAACTTCATATAAAACTATTTCATATTTGCAATGTTCTGTTCATTTGTGAAAGATGTTCCCTGGCTCCCCAACCTGTTCCAAGTTTGTATGTGTTTTTAAAAATGTAAAAGCAGGAATGTGTGATTTCATTTTACACATCGCAAGGAGTAATCTGCTTTTTCAATTAAAAGTACATTTGAAAAAACGTAACACAGATCAGAAAACGGCGTAATATGTGAAACAAGAGTCAATATTATCACTGGTAGCACAGACAAAGATCTACGGCAGTGCAATGCTAGGAATCCTCTACATATCAAAGCATGTATGTAGCTGTAGTGAACATTGTAGTGAAGAGTGTCGTGCATGACAAACGGGAGATTTGAAACCCTAATTACACATATCTGCTTCCCATTTGGTTTAGAGGCCCCTGAACTCAAGGAATGCAGCTCGAATCCACGCAAAAATGTGACAGGCGTGATGGTGGATGTGAAGCGCTGTTTAATGTTTCTGGGACTGCGTTCGAGAGCACCCGTCCGCACAAAGGCAGGAAGCGTGTGCGCGCGTGTTTACGGAGTCATGTGGGGACGCAGACGGGCAATCAAGGAGAGTCGGGTTTTAAGGTTATATTTGGATCTGTTCATGCTCCAGTATTATTTTTGGATTGAAAAAAACAGAAACAAACTAAAATGTGGCTATTTGAGGGTGCTCTTGGAAAAAGGATCAAAACTATAGACACAACCAAATCCAAAAAAGTAAAAGTCGCACAAGTGAATTATCATTATTTTTTGGATTATCTGGGGTTTTTTTGACAAGAAAAATACCTTGGCATTTGAAAACTCTGGATAACTTTGTATAGTATTTAAAAATGTATGACAAAAGTAGCAGTAATGTTGTATTTATTAAAATGAACACTGCAAAGACAAATTTTGAATGGCTCCTGCACTCTTTGTTTATCCAGCTTTTTCAGTTCCGATAACGATTTCAATACTACGACATTAAAAGGTGCACTGTGTAACTTTCTGCTTGTTTCTATGGATATTAGGGTTCGGCGGTATTACAGTATTAAGGTATACTGAGGTATTAAAAAGTATGTGGATTATGGAAAGAATGTGGATTATGAATGTGAATGTGGGTGAATCATTTAAGTTTTTTTTTTTTTTGTTTTATTTCCTATGAGGAGAACTCAAATATACATTGAGAAATAATGTGTTTAATGCAGCTTTGTGCACATTTGTTTACGTTTAACAGAAACAAAACTTAAAACCACATGGCTCATTTGCCTGAACTATAAACGCTGAAAAAACAGCTCGCTCTTGTGCGCTGATGTGGTCAGCTTCTGTCGGACTAAAGGACACAACTCAGTGGAATGTGTCTTGTGTTCTTTTTGCGACAGAGACTGTGCGGCTGACGGTGAGTCTGTTGGTCCATGTGAAACTTTTCAGAAATTATGTCTGCAGGTCATATGTGTATAGTCGTTTACTAAAGTTGTACTAAAACATTTTGACAGATTTGATGATTTGATTTGTGTTATGTACCACATTAAATCAGTTCGAGGTCAGTAAGCACAACCAGAATTAATCCATAAAGGCACACCAGATTTTAAGTGCGCCTAAAAGTTGTTAATAGTGTACATGTTTTGTTGATAATTTTCAATATTGTTAGGCAAATATAATGCTTGCTATTCTGTTTCTGAATGGTATAGGCGCAAGATACAAAATAATTCTTAATTAGTCACGGTAATACAGTATACCCTGGGTAAAATGCTGAGAAGGTTTAGCAGTATCAAAATTTGGATACCGCCCAACCCTAATGGATATGTCATTGCTCTGCCTGGAATATTCCACAGTATGACATTAAACAGCTCTACCTTACATTTATTGCATCTCCACAGCCTAGTTTGGTCTAAATGAAGATAGAAAGGTTTAATGCCATACTGTGAAACATTCCAGACAAAGCAATATCATGGAAAAAAAAAGCATTTGATGAATGTTCCACCAGAAAAAATAGAAACTACGGAAGTCGGGAAGGCTCATAGCAAATGCGAACGCTGCAACAAATACAAACACGACAACACATCTAAAAGCAACAGCAAACTAAAAAGTCACACCGGAAGTGACCATGGGACTCTATTTTCCGACGGATCAAGTGAAGCGTTAAAGGATGAAGCGGGAAGTGAATGGGAAAAGTTGAAGAAGAACAAGAATGTGAAAAGTAAAGGAACGGAGAAGTGAACGAAGTTGGAAACGTAAGTAAAAGTGGTTTATTGTTTTGTGGCCAGGATCGATGTACTGACCGTTGCTTGGTCCGTCGGAAAATAGAGTCCCGCGGCGTTTGCATTTGTGTTGCGGTGTTTGTGTTTATGAGCCCTCCCGGCTTCCTTAAGAAACAGATACCAGCGGAGAGACTGAATTCAGCTTTTATTTCCTTTAAACAAAAATAAAGTAAGACAAAACTGACCCAAATGTGTTACAGAGCTGTTATTTATCTCTCAAGTAAGTTTGCGTAAATAAAAATGGACTACAGCCAGTAAATATTCTTATTACACCAATTTATATGACCAACCAGGATATCGTCTGAACAGATATTTGAAAGCCAATTCAGATCTAGCAACTTTTTCAGTATCGAAACGTATCAGATCGGTGCATCTTTATCTCTGCTGGCATCTAATTTGAGCTGGAGATGGCCAAAGCACACAGGATTATCAAAAGAAACAACTGTACGTTTGTAATGATGAAAGATTTACATGAGCACTGTAGTTTCAAACAACTTGGAACATTTGGTTAAGCTTCAAGTTCTGGTCTAGAACGTTAATATAACTCTTTGTCATGTCCCCACAAGGTATCTGAATCGAATTTCTATGTGTGCGGAGGAGTAGAGGGAGAGAGAGAGAGAGGGGGGCTGGGGTGACTAAGGCAGGAAGTCCCACAGCTGAAAGGTCTGAAAAAACTCTGGATATCATGACTAGTAAATGTATGAGAGGGTTAGCGAAGCCTATAACGGGATTAAAGAGTTTGTTCTTTTAACTCAGACTCTTATTACTCATATTAACCACAAGTGTATTACTCACTGGATTTTAAATCCGACATAGTTTTTTTCCAGTAGTAGGATTAGAGAGAACTTTTCATGACCAGCTAATCACAAATTGCAAGAAGTGATGGCCAAATACTAATCCAAAATAATACTGTCTGGACGTAATATCGGATTTATAATTTGAAGTGAATGCATGAAATCTGGTATTTTCAGAGGACCAACAAAAAAATTGTGAAAATTCTATCAAAAAGAGTGGTGCAAAAAACACAAATGTTCATGTAATTAGGTTCTCTTTTCAGACCAAGAGTTTGTATGTTTTTATCGGAAGTTAAATTATCGGAAAACCAAATGAACCTCATTGAACTAACACAAATTCAAATCATTTCTTATTGTCAACATGAAGCTTTTGTCACTTGTAGAGTAATCAAAACATTTACTCAAGTAAGAGTACTGCAACTTCAAACCAGTGGTGGATGAAGTACTCAGTTTTGGTACTTAACTTAAAGTACAGATAATGGGACAAGAGATTACTCAAGTAAAAGTAAAAGAAGTATCACATGGAAAAATCTACATGCCTGTTTAAAAATATACTTAAACAGGAAAAAGTAACAGTAAAGTTACAGTAGCAGAGCAATTAAAGGATAGAATGCAGTGATTTCGAAAAAGAATTCAATTGATTTTTTTCTACAATTTGTTCTAGCTGTTTTTGTGTACCTATTTGGTTTGCTCAAAATTGGGACGGAAACTTAAATGTGCTCAAAAATAAGTCTGAAGTAAAAGTAAGAAGTATCCACTCTATTAGAAAAGTACTTTGCATAAATGTAAGAGTACTACCCACTTCTGATTGTATTTTTTAGTGTGTACAGTTTGTGGTACACTATCAAATACAATATGGCTTTGTTTTTAAAGATGTACTACTTAATATTGTTGTAGAAAAGTTGTCTGCTTGTCTCCATGGTGCCGTTATTGCGTCTAC